TCAACAGCATCGTTTGCCATTGTTTGCCAGCGAATTCCGAAAGCAGCACACGAGCTGTAGCATCAAAGGCATAGTTTGCCATCGTTTGCCGGCGAATTCGGACAGCGGCACACGAGCTGTAGCATCAAAGGCATCGTTTGCCATCGTTTGCCAGCGAATTCCGAAAGCAGCACACGAGCTGTAGCATCAAAGGCATAGTTTGCCATCGTTTGCCAGCGAATTCGGACAGCCACTCACGAAATGTAGCATCAACGGCATCGTTTGCCATTGTTTGCCAGCGAATTCGGACAGCCACACACGAGGTGTTGCATCAGTGGCATCGTTTGCCATCGTTTGCCGGCGAATTCGGACAGCCACTCACGAAATGTAGCATCAACAGCATCGTTTGCCATTGTTTGCCAGCGAATTCGGACAGCCACACACGAGGTGTTGCATCAAAGGCATAGTTTGCCATCGTTTGCCGGCGAATTCGGACAGCGGCACACGAGCTGTAGCATCAAAGGCATCGTTTGCCATCGTTTGCCAGCGAATTCCGAAAGCAGCACACGAGCTGTAGCATCAAAGGCATAGTTTGCCATCGTTTGCCGGCGAATTCGGACAGCCACTCACGAAATGTAGCATCAACGGCATCGTTTGCCATTGTTTGCCAGCGAATTCGGACAGCCACACACGAGGTGTTGCATCAGTGGCATCGTTTGCCATCGTTTGCTAGCGGATTCGTAAAGCAACACACGAACTGTAGCATCAAAGGCATCGTTTGCCATCGTTTGCCAGCGAATTTGCACAGCAACACACGAGCTGTAGCATCAAAGGCATCGTTTACCATCGTTTGCCAGCGGATTCGTAAAGCAACACACGAACTGTAGCATCAAAGGCATAGTTTGCCATCGTTTGCCGGCGAATTCGGACAGCCACTCACGAAATGTAGCATCAACGGCATCGTTTGCCATTGTTTGCCAGCGAATTCGGACAGCCACACACGAGGTGTTGCATCAGTGGCATCGTTTGCCATCGTTTGCCGGCGAATTCGGACAGCCACTCACGAAATGTAGCATCAACAGCATCGTTTGCCATTGTTTGCCAGCGAATTCGGACAGCCACACACGAGGTGTTGCATCAAAGGCATAGTTTGCCATCGTTTGCCGGCGAATTCGGACAGCGGCACACGAGCTGTAGCATCAAAGGCATCGTTTGCCATCGTTTGCCAGCGAATTCCGAAAGCAGCACACGAGCTGTAGCATCAAAGGCATAGTTTGCCATCGTTTGCCGGCGAATTCGGACAGCCACTCACGAAATGTAGCATCAACGGCATCGTTTGCCATTGTTTGCCAGCGAATTCGGACAGCCACACACGAGGTGTTGCATCAGTGGCATCGTTTGCCATCGTTTGCTAGCGGATTCGTAAAGCAACACACGAACTGTAGCATCAAAGGCATCGTTTGCCATCGTTTGCCAGCGAATTTGCACAGCAACACACGAGCTGTAGCATCAAAGGCATCGTTTACCATCGTTTGCCAGCGGATTCGTAAAGCAACACACGGACTGTAGCATCAAAGGCATCGTTTGCCATCGTTTGCCAGCGGATTCTTAAAGCAACACACGAGCTGTAGCATCAACGGCATCGTTTACCATCGTTTGCCAGCGAATTCGGAAAGCAACACACGAACTGTAGCATCAACAGCATCGTTTGCCATCGTTTGCCAGCGGATTCGTAAAGCAACACACGAACTGTAGCATCAAAGGCATCGTTTGCCATCGTTTGCCAGCGGATTCTTAAAGCAACACACGAACTGTAGCATCAACGGCATCGTTTGCCATCGTTAGCCAGCGAATTCGGACAGCAGCACACGAGCTCTAGCATCAGTGGCAATTGTATGCCAGCGAATTCGGACAGCGGCACACGAGCTGTAACATCAAAGGCATCGTTTGCCATCGTTTGCCAGCGAATTCCGAAAGCAGCACACGAGCTGTAGCATCAAAGGCATAGTTTGCCATCGTTTGCCGGCGAATTCGGACAGCCACTCACGAAATGTAGCATCAACGTCATCGTTTGCCATTGTTTGCCAGCGAATTCGGACAGCCACACACGAGCTGTTGCATCAGTGGCATCGTTTGCCATCGTTTGCTAGCGGATTCGTAAAGCAACACACGAACTGTAGCATCAAAGGCATCGTTTGCCATCGTTTGCCAGCGAATTTGCACAGCCACTCACGAACTGTAGCATCAACGGCATCGTTTGCCATCGTTTGCCAGCGGATTCGTAAAGCAACACACGAACTGTAGCATCAACGGCATCGTTTACCATCGTTTGCCAGCGAATTCGGAAAGCAACACACGAACTGTAGCATCAACGGCATCGTTTGCCATCGTTTGTCAGCGTACTCGCACCGCTACATACGAGCTGTAGCATCAAAGGCATCGTTTACCATCGTTTGCCAGCGAATTCCGAAAGCAACACACGAACTGTAGCATCAACGGCATCGTTTGCCATCGTTTGTCAGCGTACTCGCACCGCTACACACGAGCTGTAGCATCAAAGGCATCGTTTACCATCGTTTGCCAGCGAATTTCCGAAAGCAACACACGAACTGTAGCATCAACGGCATCGTTTGCCATCGTTAGCCAGCGAATTCGGACAGCAGCACACGAGCTCTAGCATCAGTGGCAATTGTTTGCCAGCGAATTCGGACAGCGGCACACGAGCTGTAGCATCAAAGGCATCGTTTGCCATCGTTTGCCAGCGAATTCCGAAAGCAGCACACGAGCTGTAGCATCAAAGGCATAGTTTGCCATCGTTTGCCGGCGAATTCGGACAGCCACTCACGAAATGTAGCATCAACGGCATCGTTTGCCATTGTTTGCCAGCGAATTCGGACAGCCACACACGAGCTGTTGCATCAGTGGCATCGTTTGCCATCGTTTGCTAGCGGATTCGTAAAGCAACACACGAACTGTAGCATCAAAGGCATCGTTTGCCATCGTTTGCCAGCGAATTTGCACAGCAACACACGAGCTGTAGCATCAAAGGCATCGTTTACCATCGTTTGCCAGCGGATTCGTAAAGCAACACACGAACTGTAGCATCAAAGGCATCGTTTGCCATACAACGCGCTGATCAAATCCTTCCACATTAATGGATCTTATTGTGTTAGATTTGGTGCTCTGAGCTCTAGCCACGAAATAGCTTTGATGTGCAATTGAGCAGCTGAAGCAGACGCAAGCACCATATTCAGTACAGTGGGAATCGTTCGACGAAGCGAACATTATATCTGCAACGAGCATCATACAAGCGCTCACGGAGGAATCTCGACGAGATATGCGATCTTCACATTTCGAGCAAAATTCATGAGGATGTGTTTTCGTAGGCTCGTAACTCGGCGAATTTCACAGACTGGAGCCTGAGTAATGCATTATTCGATAACACAGTCCCCAATAACTTTGACTGAGAAAAGCAAGCAGGCAAGGTTCCTTACAGATACGCGAGAAGTGCGGCCAAAGTTACGCACTTTCGTGATGCAGTTACAGTCACTTCACCGTATCTCTCCAAAAAGACCCTGTAATCCTCAAAGACCACGATTTTCGTAAAGAGCGTGTTCGAAAACCTCTATAAGCGAAGTTTCCCTACAATGCAAGAGCATCAATATTTTGAGCAAAATCCATCGGCGAGCTTCCGCCGATGGATTTTGGTAAAACAAGAAAAAATGGAATAGCCCGAACATGTCGGAAAACTTGCTCACAGAGGTTATCCGACCTGCTGATTTCACTCACATCTGCTTAGCAAGATAGCTTCGTATCCTGCGGCTATGGCGAGTAGAATTTGGGACGACAAGATTTTTCTACAGAAAAAGTGCTATCGAAAGATCCTTGCTGGAATGTACTCGGGACAATGCTCGCTGCTTTACACCTTCGCGAAAAGACGTCCTCAGAAAGATTCAAGAATACTGAAATCGAAATATCAAGGACATGCTGTACATAGGAAGATTCGCCTTGATGAGTTGAGCAAGGCGCTGCTTTCGGATTCAAAATATACTTATTTCGAAGGAAGTTATGGCGAGTAGAATTTACAAACGTGTGATTTTTCCAGAATTCATCAACGCTTTTATCTCCTTTGGAAAGAAGCCTGAGTCTATTTTTTAGCGCACAATAATCCACAAAGTATTATCAGTCTTCTATGTTGGGTAGGCGTTGCTTCACGTATTCGCGAAAGGACCTCCGCAGAACAAATTGAAAAAACTGGAAACGGAATAGTGAAGACATCGTACCCCCACTTCCAATATATCAGAAGATTTCCGCGCCGAGATGAATCGAACGTTGGCTTTGGATTCAGAATTCGTCCACTCTGAAGCGAGATACGGCCACGCGCGACGCTGATGTATGGACATGTCCATACATGTCCACACATTCGCGTCTATATTTCAAAAAATGTGAGCGGTATTGTATATGTGCTGCTAAAAATTCTTCTCCTACATTTTGAGCTGCTAGTTGATCTAGAAAAATTTTGTATGAAGCTCCGTTCACAGGAGAATTACAGGCATGCGATTTGGTATGTACCAAGTGAAGTAGGGTGGACGAAGTTGTGTGGAATATTTATTCACACTGGCGTAGATTAGTTGAGAGCGATCTATAATACAGTCGGGGGCTCCTTATATACACGAGTAGAAGGCGGAGCTTGCCCGGGTACAATGTACAACGTAGGAGGGGTACATGGCTTAAAAGGAGTTGCCGCCGTTCGGCTACACTCCTGGTGCACAGATGCCAATCATTCGTGAGTGATTAGATACTCAAGAATGAGTGGCGTACAATTCAGCCTATGGGAACTCCATAGGCGATGTGGAAAATGGAGTGGACTGGGTTGATGATCTAGAAATCATCAACATTCCGGGCGTCTAGGAAAAGAAATGAGTAAAATCAGGTGAAATTGATAAAAATACACGTAATCATTATAATGAACAAGCATTAGTGATAGGATGAATTGAATCGTATATCAAAATTACGAAAAATTACACGCACATTAATGACAATTTTATGATTTTTGGGACACAAAAAATGGTAAAGGCTAACGCGGCTATGATTGCGATGGTAGCCACGACGAGCATCTTCCATGACGAGAGGGCGACGCTGATGATGTGTCCAATGTCGGGGTAGTTGTAGACGTTGACGTACGAAGCTTCCTCGCTAGCATTTGTGAAGAGTACTCCGTTTTCGTGTGGGTGGTATGCCAGGATACCAGAGATGTTGAATACGTGGCTTTTCGTTCTGCATCTCAGTGAACATCTGTCGACATAGTTAGCGACGGTCGATTGAAGTATAGCAACTGTCTGCACTGTGTTTTCATTGCAGAAAGCAGCATAGGTGTTCTGCGTGCACGTTATCTCCACCATTGTCGGGTGCGGTGAATGACAAGAAAAGGTAAGTCGTGCACCGGTCACGCAGTTGTAGCATCCTTGAATCGGTGAGGCTGTGATGTCGCAGTCTTCATTGTTGACGACACTCGCTGTATTCCATTCCGCAGTGGTGCTGGTAGTGACGTCGACTATGGATTTGTGGCTACAAAGTACTCTTGCATGGGCTTCTTGTAGATGTAAGAATGAGGAAGAGAGTGGCAGTCTGCTATCCATCGATGTCGTCAAATCCGATATGTTCGTGTTTTTGCAGATACAGTTAGCTTGGTCATCCGTCGGGTAGCACTTGCAAGTGTCTTCTACATGGCAAAGTGAGAGGTTTTGCGAGCTTTCCATCGTTGGACATCTGAGAGCAAATACGTCGTCTTTGTCGACCAAGGCAGTCTCCGCTTTGGTGGTGTTGACTGCTTGTAAAAACACAGAGCTCAGCAGCGGAATCGTCGGCGTTGTCACAAATTCCAATGTTAGGTTAGCGTCCTTTTGAGTATGAGTGGTCTGCGCAGTAATTGTTGCAGTGCTCGTTTCTCTTCGTCCAGTCACACTTGTGTAAGTGTATTGATGATTGCTGATTCTTCCCAAGTTGGACAGTGGAACACTTGGTAAATTGTTTCACTTTGCGGTTTTCCGTATGAGCGGGAGAAGAGACATCCAGGTAGAGGTAGAAGGCAGCCACATCCGATGCTTCCACATGACGAGGTGCACCTTGAGTATCCAGGAAATTCGTAGGTGTTGTGAAGTTCTGGTATGTAGGATCGCTGGCTTGTGTGAGCACATGTGTTAGATGAGCATGATCCAGAGAAATGGCATCGTTTTGCTGACTCGGTCACTATCACGGCATCTCTGGTGTAGAACAAGACTACGGGATTGCACTGGAGTACGACGTGTTGAAGTTGTATCTCCAAGCTGCCAACTGTCTTGTTATCATGTTGAATCCTGAAGCAGGCTTGAGGTCGGCGCTCACTCAGAGTTATTCTGTTTTCGATCGTGTAGCGGCAGATGAGTGTGTTGTGGTCCTTGTGCAGACGGTGTTCCTTGACGTGAGTGTGTGAGTGTATTGGCATGAAGTGACTCCTGTGATGAGACATACTGCAACAGCCACAAACGTGATCATCTTCGATTGGATTCGTAGGGATCGGGACTGTCTTCCTAGCAGTTCGGAAAGTCGATCATTCGCAGAAGGAACGTGATTTTCTGTTGGTATGTCGTTCGCGTTAGTTCGGCACAGAAGCTGTTTTCCTCGAAGTCCAGTGCAGCAAGTGAGCCAGATGAGCAGCATCATAAGGTATGCGCAAACTGCTGTGATTGCTATCGTAGTGTTGGGGGCGCAGTGTGGATTGCGAAGCAAGTCTGCACAAACTATGCATTTGATCATGTCGCAAATGTCTCTTGGTGGGCAAATAATGGTGTCGGAGTACTGTGTTGCTCCGATCATGGTGCGCCATTGAATTCGATGTTCTGTTGTGCGGTACTTCGTCGGGAGTGCTATTTCGTTTATTCCTTTCTTCGTCGAAATTTTTAGACAATCCTTGTAGTTGAGACATAGTTGTGATTGTGATTCCGAAGTCGTGTTAACTTTCACTCCATGTTCGGAGCAGGATAGCACATTTGCGGATGCCGTATCAATGAGAAGAGCTGTCAGGCATATTGTTATCATCACCGACTTGCTGATTTGTGAAACGCTTCTCTTTATGATGGAGGAATTAGAAGATGCGTAGTCTATAGGCTTTTTTGCAGCTCTCTGTGGTTGCTTGCGAGGTTCAGGTGCAGTTGTTGGTTTCTTCCTGAGCGCTTTTCTAACCTTGGCCACTACTCCTCCTTTTTGTGGCATTGGATCCTGTCTCTCATCTTCGTTGTCTATCGTTGAGCGAATTTCTAGGGGAACCATGCGATTGAGAGGTCTTTAAATCTTTCTTCCAGATGTGGTTCTTATTGCGCTTCTGATTTCTCCATCTTTGCTTGGTACAAGTTGTGTTATAACAGCCATGGGCCAGTGTCCTCTGTTCAATTGTGAGTCTTCGTCAAGCAGTACGACGTCTCCAACTTCTGGTTTGAGATTTGTGGTTCTTCCATTCTTGAAAACATGGTGACGGTCGCGAAGTTCAAGGAGGTAGTCGTGTTTCCAAATACTCCAGAACTTTTTCGTTATCTTCTCGGTCTCCAGAAGAGCTGTTTTGGCTTCCTTTTGTGACGAGAGTTCTGGACTTATCCGGTAATCTGGATCTGTACATCATCGTCGGCGGGTGTAAGTTGAGTGCTTCCAAGCCGAATGTCCTTATAGATGAAGTCCACTGGTCTCAAGACTTGGAAAGAAGGGTCGTCTTCGCCTATGTGAGTCAATGGTCTTGAGTTGACGATGCTTTCGATATCACATAACGACGTTTGAAGAAGTTCGTCTGTCAATTTCCGTCGTCCTATAGTCTTCTGCATTGCTCTTTTCACTAGTCCAATCATTCTTTCCCAAACTCCTCCCATCCATGGTGAAGCTGGAGGAATGAAGTACCAGCTGATGCGGTGTTCGGCGAGAAAGAGTGATAAATGGTCGGAATCATCATTGCAGTAACGGTTATCACAACTTATCGTGTATTCGACGACCTAGAAATGATAACCGCATTCATAATAACAACAAACTCCCACTTTGCCTTCCCTTTATCTCGGATAAGATCAGCGCGGCGTTTCAACAATGCATTGTTCGAGCTCAGCTGCAGAACGATGTTATTTTGGTCAACATCCCTAACGACAACATCAAAAAGCAACTGGTCAGAAACAGGCTCTACGACCGTTATTGTACTACAGAGCCATGCATAGTGTGCCCGCACGGTAGAGTAGGGGACTGTGCAAAGGTGGGAGTCGTATACGAAATTGAATGCCTAAGCTGCAACGCATCATATGTTGGAGAAACTGGAAGAATGTTAAGTATTCGCATAAATGAACATTTGGCTGATAAAAGGCGTAAGAATATGGGCTCGCCGCTGGGCAGGCATAGAGAAATTCGGCATGGTGGAGAAGACTTCGATGTCAGATGTAAGATCCTTACATACGAAACGGAGACCTCGGCTAGGAAAGCGTTAGAAGCTTTCTGGATCTCTGCAAAGAATCCAGAAATGAATAATAAGAACGAGTGTATATCAATAACTTCTGACTTCCTCCCGTTCGTATCACTATGTGATCTGTAACTGTAGATCATTTTGTGTGTATCTACAGTACGATTCATTCGTCTGCCGCGACCATCTATTTCCGGTGCAGACTATTTTCGGAAAGCGGTGCTCTTCCGGTATGTTGTTCTGCGTTGACGTTTTATGTGGAATGAGGTCGTGAGAAGGTCGAGAACTGGCGGGATTGGAGGAGACGCTTGGTGGGCTGGTTTCACAGATAACACTTGGAACCATCCAGGCCTCTGAGGAAGACGAAGGCGTCGAAACGTAGGGCCGTGATTGGAAGAAGAATAAACATCGCTTAACAAACCTGTTCGGCACAGAAGTAATCAGGAATCATCATTATTGACGTTGTTGCTGAGTATCAGTTTGCTGAGGCGGAAGTTGGTTCCATTGTCGCTAATGATCTTTTCTGGTACTCCTCGTCGTGCGATGAATCTTTTGAATGTAAGAAGAAAGCTTTTTGCGGAGAGGTCTGTAGCCACTTCCAGATGTATCAGCCGAGTGACTAGGCATGTGTATAGTGCTACGTAGCGCTTCTCATCTTGTCCATTCGGCGCCTTGATCAGTATCGGTCGCATATAGTCGACTCCCGTGTAGGCGAATGGCTTTGCTCGAGTCACGCGTTCTCTTGGAAGAGGGCCCATATCTGGATACGTGAAGGGTGACGAATTGAATTTCTTGCAAGTAGTGCAACTTCGCAGAACTTTTTTGCAAAGCCCTCTGTCTCACGGTATCCAGAATCGTTGTCGAAGCTCGCATAAAAGCTGGTTGTTTCCGCAGTGAGCCAAGTCTCGGTGGATGTGCTCGGCGATCCTGAGTCCCAGTATACTTTGTTTAGGTATATACATGGGATTAGCTATCTCCGACTGGATTTCAGCACGTTGTATGCGTCCACACTTCCGTAGAATTCCATCGCTGTCGAACACAGTCTTAAACTGTTTGTTTTTAGAGACGAGAGCTGTGCCGTGAATCCGTTGCTCTTGCAAGACAATTTGCTTTTCAGCAAGGATAATTTCAGCTGCATTTGGCAAACGACTTGTCACTTGATCCTCATCTGCGATCTTGAAGCGGGTATTTTTGCTTGCCTTGCGGATGAAATTAGACAATATGCCACAATCCTCTTCAATCTGGGATAGCTGCTTACTGTATCAATTGGCCAGTCGGAATCGCTTTTGTTGAGATCCTCTGTAGTATGTTGAATGAGCATTTCGCACTCGTCATCGTCAATGTCTTTGACGTCACTAATGGGACGTACTGGCCATTCCTCGTCGGGGTAACTGAGCCAAGTTGGTCCTTTCCACCACCTGCAAGCAGCGAAGTCTTGCTTGTTAATTCCTCTTGTGGCACAATCCGCGGCATTCTCTTCCGTTGGGACCTGGAAAAAGTTAAGTTTGGCTGTTTCTCTAATCCTTTCTGCGGCGAAGCTGATTTTCTGAACCAGTGTGGTTACAATTGGTGGAAGCTTTTGTTGCTAGCTATCCATGATAGTGCGATCGTTGAGTCGCTGAACAGGTTGACTTCTGTGGAGTTTATTCCGCATTTTGACATGGTTGTTTCGGCTACAGATAGTCCGAGAAATATTTACAGCAGTTCTAGTCTCGGAATAGTTTGTCCCTTCTTGATGGGCGCGACTTTAGCTCTTGCCGTGAAGAGTGATGTGTTCTTCGTACCATTCTTCGTTGATGTAGTCGTATAAAGACAGCAGGCGTAAGCTCGTTTGGAACTATCAACAAATACAGAAAGCATATATTTGGCTTCGGGAGTTTTGTTCAGCACTGTGCGTGGTATGGCTTTCTTGAATCCGGCGATATCTTCCTTGATTGCTTTCCATCTCTGAATTTGTTCGTCAGGGAGAATTGTGTCCCATCCTAACTTTTGCTTGTGTATATCCTGCAGGAATATCTTCGCCGATATCATCAAGGGAGTAAGCAGTCCAAGTGGGTCGAAACAGAATCCGTTTATTTGGCTGAGTACAGATCTTTTAGTGACCTTAATTTGTTCTTTGTCTGCACATTCCATGATTAAGGTGTCATCGTCAGCTTTCCACTTGATTCCGAGCACTTTGAGTTCGCAGCTTTTTGCTCTATCCAAGTCCTTGATTTGTGCGTTTACTTCGGCAGAATCTGACAAGTAGTCGCGGAGGTTCATTCCGATAGAAGAGAAGAGCTCTTTTGAGGCAATATATTTCTCTATAAGCTCTTGCGGGTCGTTGCCTTCTAACAACACATTATCAACGTAGAGAGACTTAGATAGTTCCTTTGTAATCGGGGTATCCTGTTCGTCAATGTGCTTTAGTATGAACTGATTCAATATAGCTGGGCTTGCGTTAATTCCAAAGGGAACCCTGCAGAAGCGGTAGTATTTGACGTTGTTGCCTTCGGCTGGCATATTCAGGTCCTTTATCCCCAGAAATCTTGTTGCATCTCGATGGTTTTCGGGAAGGCGTATTTGTAGAAAAGCCTTTTGGATGTCCGCTACCATTGTATGTTTGTATGTCCGAAAGAGCAGTAGAATTTCATGGATGAGAGGCGTGAGAGCATGTCCCTCAAAGACGACGTCGTTGAGGCTGAGCTCGTTTCTTCCGTGAGATGAAGCATCGAAGACAAATCGAAGTTCGGTTGTCTTTCCAGGTGTCCATACGTGCCGATGTGGAAGGTAGAAGGATGTTACTCCTGCTGGTTGTAGAGAACATTCCTCGATGATTCCTTCTTTGATGTAGTCTTCAATGGTGCTGTTGTAAAGCTAAAGCTTTTTGTCGTCGCTTCGTAGTGTCCGAAGGAGAGCCTGCAGCCGGCGAAAGGCAATGTTGAAGTCGTCCTTGAGTTTGCCAACGTTTTCATTGAAGGGAAATCCTGCTGTGATTGTGCCTTTGATTCTGATAGTTCTTCTGTAGTCATCCATGAATTTGATTATAGATGCTTCGTCGGCGTTTTCGGTTTTTAGTCCTAGCGATTCAAGCTCATAGAGGTGTTTGATGTCCTGCTTGTAGTTTTCTCTTGGTGAGATTGCCGGGGTTGCAACTACAAGCGAACTTCCATAAACTTCACTTGTGCTTGCTGTTGTCGAAACTAGGCTTGTCCCAGATATGGTGTATCCGAAAACGGTAGGAGTGAGAATTAGTCCCGAAGGAAGTGTCAGCACTGGAGCAGTATGATCTATGACAGTGTTAAGTATGTCCTGGCCAATGAGGATGTCAGGCAAGACGCTGGTTCTTGCAAGCGTTTGCTGTGCTATGTCCAAGTTCTCCTTTGAAATGTACAGAAGATCCGCCTCAGTGAGATGTGCTGCATCCAGGTTGGTCGTGAGCTTTTGCTTTGTGTGTACAGACATCTTCTTCAGTTTTTTAGGTCCTCGTAAACTCTTCAAGGTGATCAAAACCTCATTTGAGTAAAAAACTTCTTGCAGTTCACCCATTCCGGATGTGGTGAACGATGTTGTTCGGACGATTGGAAGCTTGAATGTTTCGCTAAGTTTCGACTTGATAAAACTTCTTTGCGCTCCTGAGTCCAGAAGTATTGTTATGGGTTGATAGTCCCATCGTTCTTCATTGAAAATCATTGCTGTTGCAATTTGAAGTACGCACTGGATTTGAAGGAGTGGGACTTTGTCCACAACAGAGATTTCACGTCTATTTTGTGAGTTCTGTGCGGCTCGTACTTCGTTCGTCTTAGGTCGGTTGCGTTGACTGGAGGGTTGCGGTGGTCGATTTGGTAGCGTTGGTTGCCGATCCATTATTTGCAGGTCGACGTGAGACTGCGAGATACCCGTTGTCTTGCTTTTTTGCATCCGAGAGGCAGAGAGATCCATGGTGTGAGTCTTTGCATTTAGGGCACACTCCCATAATTGTGCAATCCTTCGAAGTGTGATTCTTGGCAAAACACCTCCAGCATACTCTTTGATTTCTTGCTTCTAGGCGTCGTGCTTCCGGGGTGGTGTATCTTTAGCAGGTATAGGGCGAATGCGACTGCCCACATAAACACAGACGTTTTGGTTTCGAATAGTGATTCTCTTCTCCCCATCTTGTTCTGTTGCTCCTTCCATTTTGTTGAGTGTCCTGGCGATGACTGGTTGGGAAAAGAGTTTCCGTTGTAAGCGAAGTGGTTTCCCGCAGTGAAATAATGCCATCGATAGCATTTAAGATTCCGCCAACATCAAAGGGATCATCTTGTACCGCTTCTTTTTGGATGGCGGTCGTACAGATGGATTCGGGAAATTTGGAGAAGATAATCCTACGCCAAACTCTGTCTGCAATCATCTTCGTTCCCGTCTGTTCAACGTGAATTATCCTTGCATTGATTGCTTCAAAGGTTTCTCGGCAACTTTTCGGATTGTCTGAGGCTCTGAGAAGTTTTTCGATCTCGTTTATGAGTATGTCTGCCATGTTGGCAGAGCGATCGAAGTGTTTCTTCAAGCTATCGCTATCTGATATCTCTCTCCAACGACGGGTATGCAGCTTAAGGTTGCTGCTGCTTTTCCTTTCAGGGCTTGTTTCAGGAATAAGAATTTGTCCGTGTCGGATATTTCCTCGTCATTGTGGATGAGAGATTCGAATACTGTCCAAAAGCTGTTGAACTCTCTGAAGTTTCCGGAGAACGTAGGGTTTTCGAGCAGAGGTTTTCGTATTTTGATCTGCCTTTCGTTGCGGTCCGGGATCCAAGCTTGTCCATTATCACTGCTTGGTTGACTCGGTATGCTTGGAGCATCGCAGTGCAGAAGTGCACCTTGTTCTTTCAGATCATGCTGCCGGAATTCTATCCTTGTCCGCCATTGCACTACAATCACTTCTAGACCAAGTGACTCCAGTTCTAAGTGCTTGCTGAGCTCCATCATCAATTTCTCTCCTTCTTTTTCCTCATTTCGTGCGCTGATGTACTCGATTGCGGAGTTAATCTGCATTTCTTGAAGCTTCACAGCGTTTTGTAGAGAGTTGAGAAGATTGGTTATCAATCCCGTTTTCTCTTTTATGTACTTTTCACATTCATCTTTTAGTGTGGGGAATGTGAAGGGAATATCGATAGTGTCGATTCGTGACTCGTGGGATTTCACGAGTTTACAGGCGTTGTTGATCCTGATCTTGAAAAGTTGGAGTGACGTCATATTCTGATACTCCTTGTTTCTTCTTTTATCTTCTTTGCAATTCACAGAAAGCTCAGATTTTGCTATAGCTTCTGTGTTTTCAGCAGGGCTGATCTTTTATGACAACTGTCCTTGATAGATGCGAGGAAGTCGTTTAGTGAGCTGACAATTGAGTGCCGAGCCTCTATTAGCTGTCAGTAAGCGTGTCTAGTTGGCTTGAACGCTGTGCTGGACGGTAAGGTGTGTTGAACCTGTACCGTGAGGATTGAGAGCTTGAGTTCTTGGTGGAACTTCGAAGCTTAACAAGTAAGATTTTTGGTTCTTGACTTGTTCTTTCTTCCGTTGAAATCTCTTTTTTCTAACTTTGGTTCCTTTGCAGGACTCGCGAAGAGATTAGTGAGATCGGAAGTACACACACAAACTGATTCACTCTCTGGTTCCTTACGAAAAGGACGCGCGAAAAGAGTTTCACAAGTTGTGGTGGTGTTTGCTGCACAAAATTCTTCCCACTCCCTGGTCTCTTACGAAAAGAGCGCGCAAAGGAAGTTTTCAGTGATTAGCTACTGCCAGCTGGTCCTTTACTACCCTCTGGTCTCTTACGAAAAGAGCTCGCAAAAAGGTGTTCAATTTGCAGTGGAGTTTTGCACCGACTGTTTTCTTTACTACTCTCGGGTCTCTTACGAAAAGAGCGCGCAACGAGAGGTTCAATATTCAGTAGTGTTACCTGCCAGCTGGTCTTTTACTACCCTCTGGTCTCTTACGAAAAGAGCTCGCGAAAGGGGTTCAATTTGCAGTGGAGTTGTCTGTCGACTGGTCCTTTACTACCCTCTGGTCTCTTACGAAAAGAGCTCGCGAAAGGGGTTCAATTTGCAATGGAGTTGTCTGTCGACTGGTCCTTTAGCCCTCGGGTCTCTTACGAAAAGAGCGCGCAACGAGGGTGTCAATATTCAGTGGTGTTGCTCAACAACTGTTTTTTTACTACTCTCGGGTCTCTTACGAAAAGAGCGCGCAACGAGAGGTTCAATATCCAGTGTCCTGCCACGCGGGTCTTGTAGGCCTTGATTTCCGAGGGGAAATGCAAGGAAGTTCACTGGACGATGCACCAACTTGGTGTGTACCAAGTGAAGTAGGGTGGACGAAGTTGTGTGGAATATTTGTTCACACTGGCGTAGATTAGTTGAGAGCGATCTATAATACAGTCGGGGGCTCCTTATATACACGAGTAGAAGGCGGAGCTTGCCCGGGTACAATGTACAACGTAGGAGGGGTACATGGCTTAAAAGGAGTTGCCGCCGTTCGGCTACACTCCTGGTGCACAGATGCCAATCATTCGTGAGTGATTAGATACTCAAGAATGAGTGGCGTACAATTCAGCCTATGGGAACTCCATAGGCGATGTGGAAAATGGAGTGGATTGGGTTGATGATATAGAAATCATCAACATGCGATGACTATCAGAAAAAACTTCAAATTTCCAAAAGCACCCTTATAGGAATCTATGTAAAATTATGCGAGATTTTTTGTTTCAAAGGGAATCATAAGGTAGCGGAAACGATTCTGTTGGACGGTGCAAGAAATAGAACAACTCATTTTCGCCAAGTCTTCGAAGGTTTTGCTTACAACAGTAATCCAGATTTGGTGGCAGATCAAATCAGGCCGCATAGGAAGAAAATTTCCGGCGTCACTGGAGCTTTGGAGGCTTGAAAAAAAGTACAAAATGCTATTTTCATACGGAAATTTGTCGGTAATTCTACAAATGAAACCCAAATCTCAAAAATCAGAGCACATTTTGAATTTGTTTCGCATGCGTTTCAAGCTTTG